TACTGTCTATCAGTTGGGATAAAAGTTGAACATCCTGTAGCTTATGTTCATACTCAAAATGGCCTTGCAGAGTCATTTATTAAACGCCTGCAATTGATAGCAAGACCACTACTTATGAAAACAAAATTGCCCACTACTGTTTGGGGCCATGCTATCTTGCATGCAGCATCACTTATCCGTCTCAGACCGACACATTATAATAAATATTCTCCGTCACAATTAGTTTTTGGTCATGAACCAAATATTGCCCATCTACGAATTTTTAGATGTGCTGTATATGTGCCAGTAGCACCACCACAACGTAGTAAGATGGGACCACAAAGAAGGATAGGAATATATGTTGGGTTTGAATCACCCTCTATTATTCGCTATCTTGAACCATTGACAGGAGATTTATTTACTGCTCGATTTGCAGATTGTCGGTTTGATGAAACAAATTTCCCACAATTAGGGGGAGAGAAAAAGGAAATCAAAAGAGAAATTGTGTGGAAAGTTTCATCATTATCTCACTTTGATCCACGTACCCCTATATGTAATCAGGAGGTCCAGAAGATCATCCATTTACAGAATAAAGCAAATCAAATGCCAGACGCATTCACTGATTTGAAAAGGATAACTAATTCGCATATCCCTGCAGAGAATGTGCCTATCCGAATTGATGTCCAAACAGGACCATCTACTAGCATCAGAGCTAGTGAACCTAAAGCACGCCCGAAGCATGGTAGACCTTTGGGTTCTAAGGATCGAAATCCTAGAAAAAGAAAATTGACAAATGATCAAAATGATATTATGAAGGGATCTCCTGAAGAGACCCAAGATCTGATTAGTTCTGAGATTCCTGAAAAAATCAATGAACCTGAGACTCAAGTAAGTGAGGAACTTTTAATAAGTTCTAGTGGTGATGAGATTAATTTAAATCGATCTGAAATAGTGGTGAATAATATTTTTTACATATAATGTTGCACTTAACATTATGTAAGATAATGAGAATCTTGAACCCCCGATCTCTCGAAGAATGTCGACAAAGATCTGATTGGCCAAAGTGGCAAGAGTCAATTCAATCGGAATTGAAGTCACTTGCTAAAAGAGAGGTCTTTGGACCAGTAGTCCAAACACCTGCTCGTATAAAGCCAGTTGGTCATAAATGGGTTTTTGTGCGAAAAAGGAATGATAAAAATAAAGTTGAAAGATACAAGGCTCGCCTTGTTGCACAAGGATTCTCACAACGATCTGGAGTCGATTATGAAGAAACATATTCACCAGTTATGGATGCCATAACATTTCGATATCTCATCAGTTTAGCCTTACGTGAAAGGCTTGAAATACATCTAATGGATGTGGTTACAGCTTATCTGTACGGGTCACTTGATAATGAAATTTACATGAAAATCCCTGAAGGATTTAAAATGCCTGAAGCATATTCAAAATCTCGGGAAATGTACTCAATCAGCTTAAAAAGATCTTTGTACGGATTAAAGCAATCTGGACGCATGTGGTATAATTGCTTCAGTGAATATTTGCTGAAAGAGGGTTACATAAATGATGTTATTTGTCCATGCATTTTTATAAAGAAAATGGCTTCAGAATTTGTTATACTTGCTGTTTATGTTGATGACATAAATCTTGTTGGAACTCCAGAAGAGCTCCAAAAGTCAATTGAATATCTTAAGAAAGAATTTGAGATGAAAGAATTTGGAAAGACAAAACTTTGTCTTGGTTTGCAAATTGAACATTTAGCATACGGGATCTTTATCCATCAATCTGCCTATACATAAAGGGTCCTAAAACGCTTTTACATGGACAAAGCATACTCATTGAGTACACCAATGGTTGTTAGATCACTTGAAGTGAATAAAGATTTGTTCCGACCTCCAGAAGAGGATGAGGAACTCATTGGTCCCGAAGTACCCTATCTCAGTGCAATTGGTACACTAATGTATTTTGCCAATGCTACAAGGCCTGACATAACATTTTCTGTTAATTTACTAGCAAGATATAGTTCTTCTCCTACACGGAGACATTGGAACGGGATTAAGCATATATTGCGATATTTAAAGGGAACTCTTGATATGGGTTTGTTTTATGCTAACAAAGATAGTGCAGATCTTGTTGGTTATGCAGATGCAGGTTATTTATCTGATCCCCATAAAGTTAGATCTCAAACCGGGTACGTGTTTACATGTGGAGGTACTATCATATTATGGCGCTCCACAAAATAATCTATTGTCGCTACTTCTTCAAATCATGCTGAAATAATAGCTATTCATGAAGCAAGTAGGGAATGCGTATGGTTGAGATCAATAATTCATTTTATTCGAGAAAAATGTGATTTGGAATGTGAGAAAAGACCCACAATTTTATACGAAGACAATGCTGCATGCATAGCCCAATTGAAGGGAGGATTTATAAAAGGAGATAGAACGAAGCACATTTCACCAAAATTATTCTACACACACGATCTTCAGAAAAATGGTGATATTGATGTGCAACAAATACGTAANAAGTACATTTCACCAAAATTACTCTACACACACGATCTTCAGAAAAATGGTGACATTGATGTGCAACAAATCCGTTCAAGTGACAATCCGGTAGATTTATTCACTAAATCTTTGCCAACTTCAACTTTTGAGAAGATGGTATACAAGATTGGAATGTGGAGACTCAAATATTTGAAACAAGGTTTTCATCAGGGGGAGTAAAATACGCGATGTACTCTTTTTTTTTTCTTACTAAGGGTTTTTCCCATAGGGTTTTCCTTATAAGGGTTTTAATGAGGCAGCTAGAAATGCGTATTACTAAATATGTGTACTCTTTTTCCTTCACTAGGATTTTTCCCACTGAGTGTTTCCTAGTAAGGTTTTAACGAGGCACAATACCTTTTTAATGAACATCCAAGGGGGAGTGTTATGAAAATAATTATATTGTGGATGTCCATTTATTACTCCGCTATAGATAATCTTCCTGAAGAAGATTATCCATTTAGTACTCTGTTGAAATTTATCTACAAGCAGCTGATGCAGGCAGGTTGCAAGCAGCTCAATGAAATGATTTGCAGCAGCTTCTTATTAAACAGGCAGGTTGCAAGCAGCTCATGCAGACAGCTTACAAGCAGCTAAAGAAAAGCCTTGCAACTGCTTCCTGAAAAACCTCGCAGCTGCTTCCTTTCTTCTATAAATAGAGGAGTCTTCAGTTCATTATGTACATAAGTTTGAAGTTTAAATAATATATCACTTTCTCTCTATACTTGTCTTTATTTTACTGTTTTTATTTTATAACAAGGAGTATATAATTAGATTACTTAGATAAATTTTTAAGATAGAGTATTAATCGAGAACATGATAATCAAACATTAGTTTTATATTGATAGAGTAATAACAACAATAATATTCGGCAAGCGAAAAAATGTATAAAATTTATATAATTTTTGTATATAACATACATAATATATATAATGTATATTTTTTTGTTATTATTTTGAGAGCGACTATACAATATCATTTGCATATAAACTTGAAAGTTTTATATGTATTGATAGTATTATAAATTTTTATATTATCAGTATTGTTTTATCAACGGTAACAAAGCAGTTGTCAATTTATGCTAATCATAAAAAGTTGTTCTTCATATTGTTAATATATATAAGTTAAAACTCTAATTAATTTTGTATCATTTCTGTCAGAATTTTGTGTATGATCTACAAAAAATTATTTTACAAAATATTTGTGTGTTTAGACGTGGGACTACCATTTTTTGGAAAGGAAAAGAATTGTTTTTCTCAATTGCGTTTCCAACTACTTTCTTTAAAGCAGAGAATAGAATACCTTTGAAGGGGTAAGTACTCACCTGCATCTGATGATATACACCATTCCACACTAATTTTACTGTAAAATTTTCGCGTATCGCCAGTTTTACGCCACCTATTGAATTTGTACCCACTTTTTAAAAAAAAGTTTAACTTATACACAATTTTCGGATAACTTCAGATGCATACATTTTTCTCTTCTTATTCGTTGTTGCTTTCGCCTTTTTTGTGCTTAGGATTTCTTCTTCTTCTTAGTTGCAAAATGGGTATGTTAAATTTATTTTTATTTTGATGATTGACATTTGTTGTTTATAATATTTGAAAGTTATGTTTTAAATTTGAACTCATTTGGGGTAGATTTGGACGTTGAATCGTGTGTTGGATTTTTAAAATTTGAAGAACAAGTTTACGTTTCAGAACTTAAGATTCGAAATCTGAAGTTGTATTGAAGAGATCGAACTACTTAAAATTTGAATTTTTGAAGTTGCATTTGAAAGTTAGAAGAACTAGTTGTATTTAAGAGATTGAACTACTTAATATTCGAATTTCTAAAGTTGCATCTGAAAGATAGAAGAACTTCAGATTTGATTTCAAAAGTTACATTGAAGAAATTGAACTACTTTAGATCCAAGTGAGTATATATAAAAATGCCTCAATTTTACCTCTATGTAGTATTGTAGTGTCTAAATTTTAAATTTGGGGCTCGGTGTTTGTTCGCAAGCTACACAAATTGGAGACGGTACCGACGTTTAGCCTACTAGCTTTGGAAGCAAACCTAGTACAGTAAGTGTTATTACATCTTTTTACATTTTAAATTGACATCGTTTTTAAAAAAAATGTTAATTGAAAATATATGATACTACTGTGGATGATAACCACAACTTGTAAGTTTACGTCAGATTCTGATATACTACTATAGTAAAATTTCATCAAGGAATTCCATCTTTTCTTTTCTTGATTTGTTTACAAAAATAGAGTAAATCAAGGTGAACATAGAAATGCCAATTACCACCAAAAGTTAATTCTTTAACGTCTTTGATTTGGTTACAGGATTTATATATGTTTTAATGGGAGATCAAGTTAGAGGGAAAAAATGAAGGGAAGTACCCATGATAAGGGATACCTTTGGCTGATTAGCCCTTTTGTGGTCAAACTTTATGTTCTCTATATATAAGCACATGTATTTCCAACCACGTTAAAAATGTTGAGGTAGCTTATTTCTTGGTCTGTATTGGAAAGCATAACAGAACAGTTCTCAGAAATACTGCCATTCATAAGGAAGTAACTTTAGTTCCTAAAAAGTAGTAAGAAATTTTACTCTCCAAAAGAAAATTGGTACAGGAGGCGTCTAATTCTATGGAAATTTAGGTGGTTATAATGATTTTGACATCTGAGTAGCAGAATGCTCATTCATATTTACTGCCTTTTCTGGTCTGCGGCCCTTGTCTGGACCGCCGATGATACCCCATCTCTCAAACTGTTTTTGTCGAGCTCTTGCCCTTTCCTTTTCTTCTTCAGATTTTGATGCAAAGCAGTATGGACAGGAGACGGCAGACTCCCATTCTGGGGATTCCATGTCAGCATCACACACTGGTTTCTTGCATCCATAGCAAAGTTTGAACGTTCCCTGCACCAGACCATGCTCAACAGAAACCCGCTTGTCAAACACGAAGCATTCCCCCTCCCAAAGGCTCTCCGTCTTGGGAACTTCCTCCAAGTACCTTAAAATGCCACCTTCTAGATGATAAACCTGGTAATAATCAGCCGAAAACATCATGAAACAAGATCTGCTAAGCAATTAAAAAACTGCATCCTGTGATGATGCATTAGTAGCATGTTATAACCAAACAAAAGAATTCTTGACATCATCGGTTTGCAAACTAAGGTGTTTGAAGAATTTGCTCGCGAGGAGCAACATACAACACTGGGATTATAAAGTCTAATTGTTAGAAGATATTTGTGTATATCCTTGGTTCTTTCGTCTTTGATAGGCTGAGATGTTCATGTTACTGCACCGCAAATAGATGCAACCTACATGGTTCAGACAGGGACAGATTTAGGGGGGCGGAAGGGGGTTCACAATCCCGGTGAACCCCCTTCGCCGAAAAATTACATTGTATATATAAGGCAAAACCTGTTTTTTTTACCTCTATATATTATGGTTTGAATTCCCTTGACAAAGCCTAAAAGCATAGCTTAGCGGTCAAGGGGGTTCAAAACCTTTGTAAGGTCATTGGTTCAACTCTCACTAGTTACNGCTGGAGGTTCTAAAAAACACACGCACATAGATTGCTCAATCATAATATACATATTACATACAACACAATGATAAGAGAGAAATGCATGAGCCTTAGGCCCAAGAAAAAGCTCTCCTTTCTTGGGTTTTTCAATGTATCTTTCCCGCTTTTGTGTGTGTTTTCTTCTTTCTTCCCCGGGGGAGGGGGCGGGTTTTAAGAAGAAGCAAGAGTAGAAGAGGTATCTTTCAAAGAATGTAAAAAGACAATTCAAAGTGCAGTCAAGGGGGCAGTTTTCAGAAACCGAGGATAAGAAGAAGAAGAAGAAGAAGAAGAAGAAGAAGAAGAAGCAAGAGTAGAAGAGGTATCTTTCAAAGAATGTAAAGAGACAATTCAAAGTGCAGTCAAATAAAACACAGTTTAAAATGCACATGTTTTACCAAGCATATGGCATGAGAAACTTCGCGGTTGGCCTTAAGACCCCTAGGAATAAACCATTTTGATTTAATTCTTTACCTCTTCAAAGCCTTTGCTGAGGAGAAAACTTGAAGCTTTCTCACATCGAATTCCACCTGTACAGTACATTGCAACTCGGGGAACCTTTTTGTCACCTTTTTCCTTTGTCAGCTTATCTGATGCTCCAGTAGAACCAAAAGACTCCAACTTGTCTTCTGAATCAGCAAGTTTAAATCGATCGTCCACCCAAGATGGAAAATCCCGGAATGCTGTGGTACAAGGATCAACTGCCCCCTTGAACTTCCCAACTCTGATTTCATAGTCATTGCGAACATCAATCACAACCTAATTGAGTAATACTGAAATTTAGTGAAGGATCACAACTGAAGGCCATGATAGTTTTCTTGAGTGATGTATTTGTTTCTATAGGTAGTCCGTGGGAGGGATAGCATGTCTTTTGGTGTCAGAAATGTTTCTTTAAGAAGTAGATTTACAAGTATTTGATTTCAAACAGAAAATCCTAAAGTGTTCATGAATGCATAATGAATTCCTATAGAGCACATTTGAAGAGACTTTTCAAATTGGAAGCTCTTCTCCCATAGAGCCCCAATAACAAGATGACCAAGACATTATAAACCACAGATCTTCGACAGTTTATTGGTCAGGGGCAGAGACGGCATGCCACAGCATAGTTACAGGTCTTTCCAGAGTGGTTTCTTCTTAGTCTGGACTTTCCTATTTCTTTTACTTATCTTCATGTTTCTTCCGTTTATGTTTCCTTATTTGTGTGCCATTACAACTTGTATTGCTATGTTTTGGGGCTAGTGGAGAAAGATTTATTGGCTAAAGTTGGAAACATGGAGTACATAGAGGTAGGAAAAATGAACACTAATTCACTCAGCCACCCATACAAACAAATTTCAATATTCTGAATTGCTACATAACCTAGACAGGAAAGCTTGCTTTTTCTACACTAAACAAGTTTGCATATCCTATCTCTTGGGACCTAATGAATGAAGATTATAGACAAAAGTAGAATGCCGTGACAACACTGTAAAGGAAAGATGATACCAATTATCCCACCCAACTCAAGTTTCAGGGTTCAAACAAGGGTTGAATGCTCTAAATTCAACATTAAGTAGGCATGTAATCTTTCCAGATTAAACAGATTCAACCTTCCATCCAGCATGGGCCATGGTTATAAGTCTAACTGACAAGAAAAAAGGCGGATCTAACACAGTATTAAGTCCACTTTATGCATTGAAAACTCTCGTGATACCTCTTTAAGATTCAATAATGTGGAAAATGTAAGGATGGTATCTGTTGGTAGAAAAAACTAGTCACGAACAATTTTTACAGGTATGAGCTACAGTACACAAATGATGGTTCAAATAAATGGAAGATAAAATCAAAATACAGGATATCATTTAGGATATGCATGACTTTATTCCAACTCAACCAAAAGACATGAAGTGAATTAGATGAATTTTAGGATCAAGCTTAAGTAATGAGTAAGCTACATGTCAGAATTTTTATGTCGATACAATAAGATTCTTCAAGAACAGATGAATCAATAATTAAACAAGGATGTTACTGAAACTAAAGAACTTACAACATCTGGATCACTAATCAATGCATTCCAATCCTTCGGTTTAATGTACTTGCCAACTTTTTCAATGGGTGAAACAGAAGGCATTCCAAGTGTAACTATCTGTTCAAGAAACATTGATGAGTGCTTCATACTAAAAGGATATATATTAAAGCAATCTCCAAGATCTGAGGGAGATGGGCATTCTCATTAATATGAGCCAACTCTATCGAACTTGGCCAGTGAACCTACCTCTTTTTTGAGCTTCACCCTCACATGATCCCACCTAAAGGGAGCATCCTCACCCGCTGCAAGAGGAGAGCTGCTCGTATGTCCATGATGAAGAGCCTCTTCCTCAGGGCTCACTGGTGACTCAATCAGTCTAAGCCCCTTCAGACGCTCATCACTTCGAATGAATGCAAGAACACTTTCCACTGAATCCCGCGTACCACATATGCTGCCATTGATTCCTTCATGTGCAAGAATAATACCACCTGAAACACGCTGAATTTGATCAGCTTAGTGAGGAACGAGTCACGTTGAAAAATGCATTATCAAACAAAATGTACTTGGAAGAGGAACTAAATAAAGGGAAAAGGATTGACCAGCCATACAGAGAACATACATCAAATATGTCATGTAATGGGCAGCTACTATTTAATCGTAGACAGCAATAACAAGCAGAAATGCTGAGAAGAAAAACAAGTAAAACTTTTTATCACTTCCTTCAAAATACATCTTAATTACTTTAATGTGATCGAAACTAAAGACCTGGTTAACCGACCAAAAAAAAACTAAAATCTGGTTAAGGAGATTGATCAAGAATTAAGGGAGAACAGAAGCAGGATGTTTGCACTAACTTTACCAATTATTCTGAATTGAAAAAAAGGACCATCGAATTTAACTTCTTATCCAGTCTAACAAGACATAATAGAGAAAATGCAGACTCTACACATACAAAGCAAAGCAACCAGCTTCCTGGCCTACCTCAATCCGGGTAGTGCTTATCTACAACTATTGCCCAACAGCAGAACCTCCAACTTAGACACTTGAAATATTTTAAGCAGTTTCAAGAAAAATACCATGGATCAATTTGGCAAGCTCGCTGAGAATGAACAAATATATTCCTCAATGAACATTGAACAAATGCAGATACTTTAAGCAATCACACCAACCCCAAACATGAATGAATAGTCAATAATCCAAAAGCACACCCACAAGCTCAGCAAAAACAACTTCCATTTCCATATGCACTAAACAATATCGCCAGTTAAACATTAGTATTAAACATTTGAAGCTGCAATAACAGGAACACATTTATAACTTAAATATAAGAAAAGCTTAAATCTTTCTACAATGCAACAAAAGATATCAAACTCTAAGTAAAGTAAAAAGGCAAGAATTACCAGTTGCTCGCAGAGCTCCTTCAAAGGTTTCCTCAAATCAGCATGGTCAGGGAAATCAGCAAATTTATAAAAAGAAACCACCACAAGTTGTGGGTCAGTGCTCAAATCACTACCTTCTACCTCCTCACTCCTCGAACCATTAGCTTTCAATATAGGAACAGGGTTTGTGGCGGCTGCTGTTGCAGAGAAACACTTATTAGAGGGTGCAAGATTATTTTGTGGAAAATTCGAAATATTAATTTTGGGATTAGAAAAGAAAGGAAAGGCAGGGGCTTTGGCTGGTACTTCGGAGGTGGCTTTCATGGTGCGATTAGGGTTTGGTGAAAAGGGAATTGATGATAGCATTCTGAGTGCCGCACCTATTGAAGCACTCTTTGGATGGGGTTGCATCGAGACAAGTACACTCCAATTTCCCTATGCCCCGATATAATACCAAAACTAGTTAACGCTTCATAGTACCCATATATTAAAAATAATTAAATTGAGTTTTGCAAAAACTAAAGATATTTTTAATTTTACTTAGAAAAGATAGTCTAGGGGTGTTAATGGTTTGGTTCGTTCGGTTATTTTATAAAATTTATATCATATCAATTTTTTAATTATTCTATTATGTATAACCAAAATTAGACTTTTCGAAGCCGTCCCAATCATGTCGGTTTCTCTTCGATATCGATACGATTCGGTTAATTTTCGGTATTTTTTTAAATGCCATATAAAATTCACCAGTAAAAGTAGAATGCAATAACATACGTTCTTTTATAGGACTTAGCAAAACTCTCTAGACATTTTTATTGTTTAAAGGGTGATGAATTAAAAAAAATGAAAGATGACTGGAGTATATATCTATCAACTATTCTACAACAACGTAAAAGAAACCAAGCAAAGACAAAGAAAATATAAATTATACGAGTGGAAAGATATTAACTAAGTTGGGACTCAAGAATAAAGTATATAGAAGATTAAATATTCAAAAAGATAAATCTAAATTATATGAAAGGAAACATATTCAATACTTTGTGTGTTGCTAATAAAGATGCTTAAAATAACTTAGTTTAAGTAGACGTAGCATAATAGGTTTTAGGAATTAGTATTTTGAGTTTAATTACTTGTTGGCTTGTAATAGTTTTCATAGTTCCAAGGCCCAAAGAAAAATTTAATGCATTATTATTTTTAAACTTACTATATAAATATATTTTCCACATGTAAAATTTATTCGGTACGGTTCGATTTTTTTCGTTTTTTTTTATAAAATAAAAAACCTACCCTAATTATCGGTGCGGTTATAGATTTATATAAAAACCTACGATTTTTTTAAAAAGAAACCTAAAAATCGATTCGATTCGATACAGTTCGGTCGATTTAGTTGATTTTCGAATATTCATAGAAACCCCTGGTCTAAGCATACAAGTTTAAAGCTCCAATGCTAAGGTACTTCTCGATCTTTAAATTTTCAAAAGCTAAATCATAAGTCTGACAAAACCTCTAAAGTGAACACACAAAGGAAATAGCAACGATGACACAACATCAAAAGGGTAAAGCAAAAGTGTCGAAACAGTTAATTCTTACAACAACAACAACCCAATATGGTAGTGTATACGCAAATCTTATTCCTATTCTGGGGTATAGAGGTTGTTTCCAATAGAAACTCGACATCCTTCCCTCCAATAACTCCCCACCTTGTTCTTGGGGTGACTCAAACTCACAACCTTTTGGTTGAAAGTGGAGGGTGCTTACCATCAGAGCAACCCACCTTGTACGCTTTCGGAAAATAGTATCGACTAATAATCATATTACAATAACAGTAAAATATATTCAGATACTAAGTCTAAGATATAAATTTTTATCACCTTTTAAAGACAAAGCTGACACATACCCCTACTAAATGACTAATTCTATTGATCAATTATAATGGATAGATATCACCGTAAACCTTCCTTTCAACCAAATACAGCTGTAAATTCTTGTGCTTTTAACATTTATCACTTTTGACAAATATTATCAATTTTTTTATTTCATGTAAACTTGCTTTACATCCTTGTAAGCAGGGGCAACTCAAGCGTATGTGGTGTCTAAGGCTAAAATTTAATATGGGACCATAAGTATTTATAAGAACGTTATAATATATATTTTTATTTAAAATCTATTCTTCTAACTTTTTGAGATGCAAAGTTGTTAATAATTTTTTTATAATCAATTTTTTCTAATAATTTCTTTTCAATTGATAATATAGCCAAGCCATTTAATCTTTCTTGAGACATTGTTGATCTTAGGTAAGATTTTATCAATTTTAGTTTTGAAAAATTTCTTTCTGCTGAAGCAACTGTTATAGGAACTGTTAACATTATTCTATAAGCAGTATAAGCATTTGGAAAAGAATCAAGTCTTTTTATTTGATTGAGTATATGGATTAGAGTTTTATCTTCTACTTGTATTATTTCTCTTAACACTTTTAATTCGAAAAATAAGTCTAAACCATCAATATCAGATTGACTGTTATGTTTTAAGGAACATCCAAGATTAAGACAATATTTTTTCAAATTCTCGTCATCCAATGATTTCAATTTTTTACCACTAAATAGGAAACCAAAGATATTTGCATATACTTCAAATTGTTCAAATCTATTTTGAAGTGAAAAAATGGCTTGATCTACTATGTATAAGAAGTAATCAACTCTAAAAGATTCTTCAAGAGACTTTGTGATTTCATTATCAACATTCTCATCAAATTGTTTCTTTCTATGTATTACACATTTATTACGAAATTCAGGTTCTATATTCATCTCAAGTGCAATTTTCTTAGCTGGAATTATAGCATTTGTAAATCCTTCTTATGTAAGATTTTATTAATTTTAATTTTGAAAAACTCGTTTCTGCTGAAGCAACTGTTATAGGAATTGTTAACATTATTCTATAAGCAATATAAGCAATTGGAAAAGAATCAAGTCTTTTTATTTAATTGGGTATATGGATTAGAGTATTATCTTCTACTTGTATTATTTCTCTTAACACTTTTAATTCGAAAAATATGTTTAAACCATCAATATCAGATTGACTGTTATGTTTTAAGGAACATTCAAGGTTAAGACAATATTTTTTCAAATTCTCGTCATCTAATGATCTCAATATTTTACCACTAAATAGGAAACCAAAGATACTTGCATATACTTCAAACTGTTCAAATCTATTTTGAAGTGAAAAAATGGCTTGATCTACTATGTATAAGAAGTAATCAACTCTAAAAGATTCTTCAAGAGACTTTGTGATTTCATTATCAACATTCCCATCAAATTGTTTCCTTCTATGTATTACACGTTTATTACGAAATTCAGGTTCTATATTCATCTCAAATGCAATTTTCTTAGCTTAAATTGTAGCATTTGTAAATCTTTCTTCTCTATATTTAAAAAAAAAAAAAGAAATTAGACCTCGTAGTTGATCTATGGCAACATCAATATGCATATCTTTTGATTGTAAACTTTTGCTAACTAAATTAATAGCAAATAATACATCATACCAAATAGTCATGTCCAATAAAAACTCAAAATTTTCAAGCTCATCTGTTGCTAAACAACTTGCTTCACTTTTTATTTTTGGATCCTCACTAACTTCTACTAATTTTATTAAAGCATCTCTTATTTGTGGAGTCTGGAATCGTATTGCTTTAATACTTTCAATACGACTTTCCCAGCATATTTGTAATAATGATTTAACTTTCCCAGCGTGTTTGTGATAATTTTATTAAAGCATCTTCTTGTTGGTCCCTTTTCTACTGATAAATTTCTCAACTTTGTATCAACGTTAGTCTATTGACTAGAATCATATATATTTTTAGGAATGTTATTATTTAATTCATTTATTAGTTCTTGATTTTCTTAAGAATCTTCGTCAGATTTCTCATAAACCTCTTCTTCTTCAATTTGGATTTTGTTATCATCTTACTCAACTAAGTTAGTGACTTGTTCATCTACAGAACATTCTCTTATATTTTGCGATCTAGTTTTTTCATTGTTTGTCAAAAATTTGTCAAGATCTCCCTTTTGAGATTTTATTAAATTTTTAACTTTTCTTTTCTTTTGGATTTTTGAATAACCAGATGCATATTTTATTGTTGGCATATTTATATTCTAAAAAATAATTAACAATATGTATGGAGTAAAATTAATAAAATAATAAATAATAAATAAAAATAATACTAAAAGGTTAGAATGATATTACCCGGATGACTGATTCAAGAAGTTTGAAGACTTTGATTCCAAAATATATAGTTGTTGGCTTGTAGGAGAAAGAAAGAAATCTAGTAGAATTGTAGAAAGAAGATAGCATGAATAAAGAGGAAGGAAGAAGTATGTCTCATATATGGAATATAGAGCGAAATGAAATTGTAACGTTGGGATTTACTTGGAAAGATTAAAAAGTAGAATTGTCAAATCAAATCAAATTGAAAACTATTTTTCTACTATGAAAAGTACAAAAGCACTATACATATATATAATATATATATTATTCCTAGAAAATGGACACCCCAAAATTGGGGGACTAAGGCACTTGTCTTACCCCATATACTGTTAGAGTCGGCCATGCTTGTAAGAATAGTAAATATATAAAAATCATTACAATCGATAAAATTTGGTATATAGATGTCTTTGTATTTCTCTTAGAGAGAAGGATAGTTTTTCCACGAGAAAGAAGGATATATATGTCGAATGAGAATACAAAAGAAGAGGTCAAATATTGGTAAATCACAAAGGACCAGTATAACTCAATATACTATTGTTTACCCTAAAAATTAAGTAATAATTAAACTTATATTGTGGTTTTGAGGATATGTGATTTAAACCAGTACCAATTGATAAACAATGAATTAAATAGATAAACTGGACAATAAAATAAATCAAATTGGTCTGCAAACAACGCCTCGACCTCGATTCGAGATAGTCTCGAGGTTAGTTAATAAGAACAGTAGAGGATGGAACAAACATCGATGAATTGTAAGTAAAATAAAGAAGGCAGTGTGTGTGTATATTCTTATCAATTAATAATTATTCTTCCCTTACAAGTGAATGGGATCCCTTTTTATATAATAGAGGAATCATAAATAAGGTATAACTCTAATAACGAAAGTAGATCCCATGATTGGCACTAATAACCGCTTTGATTTGATTTGTTCGGGGATTTTTGCCGTGATCTTTGATCGGTTACTGATATCTTGCCATTCCGTTATTACGCCTTACTTGAAGTCAGTCATGCTTGATCTCGGTTGTTGCTGGCCTTGATCTCAATGAACACTTCGATCTTCAGGCTTGATGTTCTATCTTCGAGCTCGAGCCTGATCTATTATAAGGTTACCCTCGAGGCAACTCCCCTGCCAACGAAATCGGGTATGCCTGATTTCTATCGTATACAGATAGTCCTCTCATT